TTCATGTAACTAAATTATGTTATTTTTCCCAGGTTACCTTTTTGGATATTCTTCTCTGTGATAAGTGCCCTGAGAAAACTTGCTATGGAGTTTTGGAAGAATTCAGTTTCACGTGAAACATTTGGTCAGGAGGCTACGTAACACATCAGTCAAATTCAACTTTTTATTCCATTCTTACCTGGCTGTTAACGTCAGCAGCATGCTGTAACAATACTGAAACCAGCTCCTTGTGTCCTCTGTCACATGCCCAGTGGAGCAGAGCCCGGCCCTGCAATGTCCAGGACAAAATTAACAAAGACAGCCAAAAAACCCCACAGAGAATCACAATCTTGCTATTAAGTACTGAGTACCAATAATAAAATTAACACAGACTTTTTAAAAACCCTACAATAATATTAGTATGTAACATAGTAGCGCTCCTGGTTTATTCCTTACAGAATAAGGCTAGAAATGTTAAAAGTGACACAGTTCAATTTTTCATTAACTCTGCATCAAACCCACAAGCCAGCAAAAAAATTAGAGGGGAAGAGCAGCAAAGCATGAAAAGACGGACATAATTTGTTTTCATATAGAGATATGGGATTTTGACACCTCTGACTTTTCTGAGAGCAACAACTTACTGTAAGGATAAGATTTTCAGTGCTGCCTAAGTCCCCTAGACACCAAGCCCCCAAAAGCTCATTCCTCTGGCAGGTCACAACACTCAACCCCCAGGCTCCGCCTCTGCTGCAACAGAAGATTAAAACTGGGCGTCTGAGCAGGCATCACTCACGACCATCCCCCTCTCAGCTCTGCAACATGGGCTGCTGCATCCATGCCTCCAGCCCCTCCCAAACCTGTGCAGTTTTCTTCCCACCTCCTTTCTGCAAGTCTCTGCACACCTGAAGTCTCTCTGCATGTCTCTGCGACAATGGGAGGGGATGCAATGGAAGTTCAGATCTTCCTGCCCTTCAAGGACATGGGAAGCAGCTTAGGACCCCTCTGAGGACTGACATGCATGTCTGAAAACCCAGCTGGCCTCAGAAAGGGCTATGGAAGCGGTGAAGTGAAGCCAAACATTTGGGGCTGGGTTCATGGGTGCTGCTCTGATTCTGGGCAAGAACAGACAAGCCTGTGAAAGGGAATGCTTGTTTTTGCAACAGGACAACACAGCAGACCTGTGATACAGTTCCACACTTCAACAGCTCTGTGCTGAGGCTGCAATACTTATCTTCTTATAATGTAAAAATACATTCAAAGCAGTAACAGAGCCTTTTGACAAGCAGCTCTAAGACATTTTCTATGAACTACAGAAGATTTTATATATTGGCAACTCCAAAGAGAAAGGTAGTTCAAAGTAGGTTGACATGGAAGGTTTTCTTCTTTGTTTACTACATACACTTCGTAATTTTGACTTACTCTTAGTATCTGTGTCTCCTGATTTAGGACGGCACGTGGCACACTTGCAGGGGATTCCTTGGAAATCATCCCCCAAGCTGTGACACCATCAGACCGACCTGTGTTTTCCAGTATGCTACACAAACAGTCATAGACCTTCACAAATGAAATCACTTAAATTAGCCCATGCCTGCTTACAAATCTCTTCACAGAGCAGTGGGGAACAAGGTGAGCAACTCATTTACCTGCTAATGGGAACCATGAGACAATTTTCCCACCCACAGTGCCAAAACAGCAGCAAGGGCAGAAGACACCTGCAACAGAAGCTCATGCTGCTTCTGCTAGATATTCTTGGGCAGGGCAGCAGAGGTAGAACATGATTTTGAGTAAGGAAATGCGATCTCAGACACAAGGCATTAAGCTTTTTAACACACTTTTTGACCCAGCAAGTAATTAATTTTTGTAACACATAATTTTAATGTTACACTAATTAACCTTGAAATAGAATGAATTTTCTGACAGTGACTTTCTATGGAAGCACTGACGACATCCATGGGCCATTTAATGATTAATGTTCTTGCACTCAACACCCGTATCAAAGTCTAAAAGGAGGAAAGAGTACAATTTAAAACAATTGGTAAACATGGAAAGATCTTTAACTCATGTTTAGCATCCTTAACTCATCTCTGGACTAGTAATTACTTAAGACCTAGGATTTCAGTTGGATAAATACCAACTTTTTTGTGCCACAGACATTTACTGCAAAAGAAAGAAGCACTATCTGCAGCATGCATGATAGCAATAACTGTTTCTTTATATATGTGTAGAGAAATAATATCGTAATTACACAAGTGTAATTATTGCGCAATTATATGACAAAATAAAGGTATTTCTATCCCTTATATAAAAATTCACATTAGTGGAGTTACAGATTAGTCGCTATTATATGTTGGTTTACATTTCTCTCTGGAGAGCAGAATCTCATTTTATTAGTGCTGAACTTGGCTGAGACCAATAAAGGAAAACCAACAGTTCAGGAGAGACTGTGCTGCCAATTCTGTCAGCTCAGGGGTACTGCAACACTGTGCAACTGCTCCCTTCCCATGACACTGGAAGGCTGGTTCTGCTGCAAATGTTCCCTTTCAAACAAGGCAAGAAACTGAAGCTTGATCATCTACAGTCATAAAAAATCTCCTTGTGCTATTTGCAGGAGTATGGATTTCAAGTCTTGGGCCAATTCCACTTTGGGTAATTACACTCTGCTTACCTATATATTTTCTCGGCAATTCTAAATGGATACAATATTTTCCAATTAGTGCCTTAAATGGCTCTGCATTGTAATTGTGCACTATTAAAAAGCTGACACGTTCCACCCAAGAAATGCCTGCATCCTTGCAGCATGCTACACCCTAAACACAGAGTGTAAGGGACTTTGGAGACCACCTGTGCAAGAGCACACCATTTAACGTAGAGGTAAAAATACCTGCAGAAGAATCTCAACCTACTTACAGTATAACAAAAAGCATTACTAAGAAACTTGTATTTAAAACAAGCTAAATTCACTACAGTTTGCATAGCATCAGGCAAATCAAAACACTCAGTTCTGGCTAACATTCTTAGGTAGCTATACAGCTACAAAGTCCACTTGTTTCCCATGTCTTCCTTAAAACAAAGCTTATCGATAAGACAAACTTCAACTGAATGTGCAATCCAACCCTTTGTATAGCATGGATATCACCTATGCACGTTGAAAAGTTCTCCAGTCTGCTCAGCTGCCGCTTTGTATCAGCCCATAACATGTGTTTGCATGTTTAAATAACATGGCAGAAATCTTAAGAGCCACAGATTGAGCTTTCCCAAAACACTTCCCATTAACCATTTCATTAAGCAGTGAGAGACTCAAAGCAACACAAATAATTTTGTATAGGAAAGCACCATAGCAGTAAGGTCTTGACTAAACGCAATCAAACATCAAAGTACTCCCTCCATGCAATTCAAACACACAACAGTTGTTGCAGAAGTTACTTGAGAGGATGCATTTTCCCCTGCCTTTGAAGTATTTAATAAAAAAAGCACAAAAATAGCCCCAGTGCACTAACCCTACCTCTTAAATCTTCTGCGCTTTGCTTGGATAACTGCTGCCAGCTTGGCCGGCTTCTACAGCAGTTTCTCAAGCCAACAGCACATCAATTTTGCTGAGCTCCAAGTCACAGGGTGTTCACAAACAAAGCACAGGACAGGGATTTGTCTCAGATATACCGAGTCTCAGCAGACAAACGGATAGGAATGATTTTCACATCAATTAGCCGGTGCAGAGGAAGAGGAGAACAAAGCCAAACTGAATGGATGTGCTACAATATTAAGCTATACTTCTAGGCATGATGTTTGCAGCTGTAATGCCTGTATAGCAATGAGAGCCACTCTAACTTGTGGCAAGTGTTTTATTACTGGTAGTTATGAACAGACACATATAGAACGGCTGCACTCCCCCATGACAGCAAAAACAGCGAATGGAAGGGCCGTTGTTGCAATTATACAGGTAAACTTCAGATTTGATCTGGAAGTCAATTGCTTTCAGAGCTCTGAAACATTTGGAGAAGTTCTTCTAACGGGAATAACCCTGTAATTCCAGAAGTATGTGATCCTTCTTCAAAGCCATCTTTCGCTCCTGTCCTTTCCTTGGCAAGCTGGCACCAATTTGGCACTTACTGTCTGAAAAGCACAAGGACTGGGGACTAAGCAAGCACCATTTCAGATGTCTTTCATTAAAGTTTTGGCAAGGGCTTAAATACTGCACACAGGTAACATGTTTGTTTACTGAGATTTCTCCAACAATTAAAAAAAAATTTCTCTATCTACAACCTCCACAACCCTTGGCACAAATTACAAAAGCATCTCATCTAAGCCTTTGAGCAGTTTCTGGACTGTTAAAAGCTGAAGAAATATCGTTCTCAAAAAGGCAGCAAGCAATCCACACCACCAGGATGAGCCTGTGGCAACTTCACAGCCACAGTCCATTTCTTATTTCATTAGTCCTGCTGACATACGCAAGAGAAACGGGTTGTTTTAGTCTGTACTACTCCTAAGTGAATGCAAGCTATTCTGCTGAACTCTGGGCAATTTAGATACAGTAAATGGAACCTTGTACATGATTACTGTCATTAGATTATTTGTTTAATTCCAAATTGAAGTTTATTATATCCAAACTGTTAGCAAGTATGCTGGCTTGAATGCTAGATATGAAGATCTTTATTTCTTGTGGGGAGAAGACCACTTATGCTTTCAAAGTTGCCAAGTGCATCTAACCCCAGAGACTTCTGTCACCCTTTCTGAAAATCTTTCACTTTGGGTAAGTCAGCCTGTCCTAATTTCACATCTTTATTCTTGATTTGTTTTCTCCTTTTGCTAACTTATTTCAGGTTTGCACAAAATGAGGGGATACAATTAGATACAGTACTAACGCATCACAGAAATAAAATCTAAACACCTTACAGCCTCAGTCATGTCTTTATTGTATAAGGAAAGGCTGGGCCTAGCATCTTTGCAGTTTAGCACAAGACTATTTGATGCCTCAGTAGATTCTGTTTCATAAGAAGTTAACTCTTTGTCTGTATCCCTGCTGCCATTTTAAATTTATACGGATTTAAATCAAAGGATTGACAGCATGAGTTATGTTCAGAGGGCTATGAGGGGCATCTTTTGGATACAGCAGGATGTATTTATACAGTAACACTAAAATAGTTAATAAAAATGACAAGATTATGCTTGCATACACTTCACTCTACCAAAGGCTCGGTCTGGGTTATCTCATCTAAAATTGGTTCTAAAACTTCCATCACGATATTGGAAAATAAGCTGCCCTCCAGACTGTGAAGAACACATTTGGGTATGGAACAACATTGGTAATGGTTTCAGCTCCTTAACATAACATGAAGTAAATAGTTCTTCAGATTTTTCTTTTCATATGCTGCCTTTTTTTTTTTTTTTGACCAGTTAAGAGTCAAGCCTAAGAAAGCCAGCACTTGCCAAAAAAACAACAAAAAAAGTTGTTACTTCACTGTTTGAGCATTTGCTCGGGTAAGCCAAAATCACTGAGGCTGTGAGAATTTCTTCTACATGCGAATTTTGCACCAGTGGGAACCTTCCCATGAGCCCTTCACAGGTGGGCAGGGTTTTCGGCTCTTATCTGTGCTGAAGCAATTCCATACTCCGCAAAAGTCATGTGCTAATACCCATTAGTTCAGAAATAGGTTTTCTCTTCCATCAGAGACTCATGGATAATTCCCAAAGAGGATGTCACCTGGCAGTTTTCAGACCTGGCTCTAAAAATCTATGTTGTTAGAGCACAAAAATACTTCACCTAATATTTTGATTTTTTTTTAAAGCACAAAATTTCTTTGGCTGAAAATAAGCACATTTGTTGCTTGAACGTAAAAGAAGTTATAAGCTTCCGAACTACGAATATTGCATCTTGCCTGTGGAAATGAAGCAATGCTAACATGACGTTATTATACACTTATTGCAAGCGTGTGATCCCCAAAATGAGCTTTTATTAATGAAAGGACTCAAGCCATGTTCTGTGGGACTGCCCTAGACATCTACTTCTGTAACCTGTGATCGGCAGGAGGAGGGATGGAGCTCAGTAATGACACTGTTGCAGGAACTGTGTGGCACATGACAGTTTCAGTTCATTGAATTTATGATGTGAAATTCCAACCCTGATCATGAACACCCTCCCTCCTCTCCTCTGAAAATTAATCACATGAATTCCTGATTAATAATAAAAGGCCCTGCCATCAGCATTCAGAGCCCCAGCCGGGGCTGTCATGGCTCAGAGGGCAGAAATCTGCTTAGAGCTACAGGAGAACCCAACTGAATTTGTGGCGTCTCAGTCTATGAATGTGTAAGCACTTCATCTGTTCACTAAAACACAATGCGCTGGAAAGCAGCAGGCGAAAGTAGCTGTACATACGATAGAGCACAAGCAGGGCTAGGTGGCAGTATACAAGCATCGAAACCAAGGCGATAAAGCTGGTAGGGCTACCTTTCCTCAAGGATGAACAGGAAACTATTCACACCAGGTGTTTACTTTTACCAAGAAAAGGATCAAGCCAATTCACAATTTTAGACAGTTAAACATCTTTTTCTTGACGTTTCTGGCAATGCCTGTATTATGTCCCTATGGGGAAATGGTATTTTGAGTTTAATGAGCAGAGAAAGACTGGACGATGTCACTGTTTTTGTGAAGCTGGAAAGGCGGTGTCACTCATTTGCCCTGCACCTGGGAATGATGAAAAGCTGATGGCATGGCAAAAATCCTACTGCACTTGTAAACAGAGTTCATGGGTCAAAAAAAGGCGTTTCCCTCACTTCCTACTTTATTTGACCACATTTAGTGTATAAGGTGGGGAAAGCGGCTTTTCAGAAGATCTTATTCTGCCAGTGGCTGCTGGCATTGCTGAAAGTAACACAGAAAGTAGGTTTCTGATATGCTACAGCACAACAGTTAGTACATCCACACTACTGGAAATCCAGTGGAAAACTATTTTCAAAGAGATTATTCCTGCCTCAATGACCAAGCGTTTGTTCAACTGTTGTAGGACCTTGTTATAACAATCTCAACCACGGAATTCTGAAAAGGAGTGGCACTGAGTTAATACCCAAAACAGTTAAAAGATTGATGGTCTTTATCTTTTTCTCCATACCTCCTCATCTGTGACATTCACATCCACTTTTTTTGATCGAATGGCTTTGGTTACATAGTCTATGTTGTTTTCTCTGCAGAAATCAAAAATGTTCTTGTCCTCTTCCCTATTCAGGAAACAAAAGCAAAAGAAGCACTGTGTTACTGCAGAACACAAAGGCCACACGGACATCACATGCTCTAACTTTGCTACAGACATTTCAATACTATCACTGGACTGAAACACACACCTAGTATTGCACATGCAGAATAATATGTTTTTTCCCAAGTTAAGAGACAGAAGATACTGCTTCCTAGAAAACAAAGGTTGTTTTTAACAATACTATGCCAGGACAAAAGTCAGCTTACACCTGTGAACTGGCATAAGAAGTCTATAAACGTAGCCAGCAAAACCCACGTTCAAGTCCTGGTATAAATCACTGCAATCCCACAGACGATAAAGCCTAAAGCTGCTCTTCTCCCTGCTGTACAAACCTGTAACAGCCACTCTGGGTCAGACCAAAGACCCTTCCGACATCATCCATCTTAGACAGCAGTCACTAACAGTGGCTTGGAGTAAAAAGCAGAAGAAACAGGACATGCACAAAGCAATCTGTCCCTGGTTGGATCCTCCCAGCTTCAGAAACTCAGTGGCTTAATTTCTGTAGCTAGAGGCTGCATCCAGGTATTTATCAGCCTTCTCCAGGTCCTTTTTTCCACTCTTCTGCTCTTTAACCCAATTCATACTCTTGGCCTCTCTAAAGAAGAAATCTGCAACTTAGTATTCTGTGTGTGAAGGGGTGAACAGTGGGCAAGTACTTTCTTCTGGTGGCTTTAAAACAGGTGCCTGCTATTATTGGGTACTCTTTGTTAAGTAATTGTCTGAGGATTTGTGAAATCTTTGGTGTCTGTCTTGGAATTTGGCCTTAGTTTTTTGTCTGTGGGTTTTTGGTTTTTTTTTTTTTTTATTCACCAGTCTGCAAGTGACCCAATTGCACTCCTCCTTTTTGCACTGAGTTTTAAGACAAAGCTTGACTGTGATCTTTGCTCAGAGCAGCAGGTTGGTGTATGCAGAAGGACCAGCATGTGTCTGTGCCAGGACGCCAGCGTGTGCTCACTTAGGCCTGCTTGCAAGCAGAAAGATCAGGTTGTGGTGTCACAGCGCTTCTGTTGCGCCTATAACTTCTTCTAGAGCTAAAAGCAATACCCTGGCTTGAGACACAGTAAAATTTCTGTTCTTAACAGCCAACCAAACATAACATCTAATGAAGTTAAGACCTTTCACAGATTCTTAAAACATTACAGAAGAGCTTAGTATGAGTGACTGGAGCTACAGTTGTGGCGATTAAAAAAGCAAGTGTTATGAATCTTTAGCAAAGGGACAGAGCAGAACCAAGACACTTTCATCTTGCTGTATAAATCTGCACTCACATATCTAATGATGGGAAGTTACTGATAACAATATGGCTGAGAAAGTACATCTCTCCTACTGTCCACGCTGGTATGCCAGTGGAAAATTACTTATTCCAACACAGACAATTTTTCTGCGGAGATGGGTCTACGCCATACTAGCATGAGGCGCCTTTACAATAATACCTTTAGGTATAGATACACTGATACAACTGTGTTGCTAGTAAGGAGTAAAGAAAAGTAGTAATTGGTTTTCTAGAAGTAAACCAAAAGCCCACATACTATGCTCTTTTTCCAGATTCCAGATGAAAACTACGGCTCAAATCAACCCATAAGCGTTGCTATGGGATTTGGCAGCTTCACAAGAGTCAAACACAAAATATGCCTCCCATGACATCCCTGGTTTTCAAATCGCCTTACCTTAAGGCACTCTGGATGTTCAGCAGAACTCAGACCTGACAGCCTTAAAGGAAGTTCCTCATAAAAACAGGAGGTTGCTGGAGCAGGTCAGACCTGGTTAGGGAGGTCATCCTGCTGCGGGCCTTCTAGGCAGAGGAGAACAGGCAGGAGAAATGCAATGGGGCAGTTTGAGAACAGATTCCCCAGTGTTGAAAGGCAACAGTACTCCTCCTATTCATCTGCACTGCTCTTGACCCTCATAGGCTGAAGGATGTCAGGGCAAGGAAGAGTAAAATCTAAATGTTATTTGCATTTCTGAGCAATGGGTTAAAAAGAAAAAGAAATGCTCTTTGACCTACAGTCCCAAAAAAAACCCTGAAAATACCAATGCCACCAAGACCGTGTCCCCTGCTCCTACCAGGACAGGCAGAGCTCTATGACAACTCTGACTTCATCTTTTATTGTTGCGCATCTAGGCTATTAAGTTACACTCTAGTTCTTCAGACCTCAAGCATCTCTTTCCTGCCACAGTCCCAGTAAAAGGTGGGGAAAAGTGCTGATACTCAGCTCCAGCAGCAGAGTGCTGCTTTCTCTACAGAAGTCACTTCCTCTGACCACTCTCTCACCCTGGTCCTTTAATAGCACTGTTCCCCTGCACATCACCCCTATTCTTTTAATGCGAGCAGTCCTTTCCAACAACAGAGTTGCACCTTTCCCATAAAGACCTGGGTGTCGCACAAGATTTTACACTCCATGTTTAGACATACGGACACTACAGAAGTCTTCCAGTTTCTCAAGTAGTATCTCATGAACTCATTCGTTTGACGTCTTGTCTGCTCACTACACACAAGCTCCTGGGAAACAGATGACTACATGCTTTAGATGCAATGACTTTGAATTCTGGGCGGAAAAAAAAAAGAATCTCATGGTGGGATTAGAAAAGGCAAAAGCTTATATTGCTCGAGATGGAGCTTGGCAGATTCATGATGGAGGTCATGAGACACGCCTGCCCCTACTAACAAGGGCTGATTTGATATGCTGGGAAGTCCCCCCAGTCCTACCTTGTTAGCCCAACCTCTCAAACACACCCTTGGCTGCTGTAACCAGCCTTTCGGGTGAAGCTGCTTTTCAAGCAATACTGTACAATAACTTGGTTCCAGCAGCTTTTTCCCCACTGTATGGCCACACACACTTCATTTATTACAGATGACTTTCTTCCGTAACACCAAAGCAGAGCCCAGTCTCTCGCTAGTGAAGCCCACAACCATCCTCAGTTACTCCTGGACGATTTTCTGTGCCACAGCCATGAGCTCAGGCTGTGCCCTCCATCCCTGTCAGTGATGCCACCCAGTCAGCCTGAACACCAGCATCTCCACACGCTGCAGAGCCCAGGCAGCTCAGCCCTGCCAGACCTTGCATGGCAGTACCAGAGGTTCCAGAAGATACATGGCAGCGATAAAGCGACAGACTGTGCTCCATGGGGAGCATGCTGCAGGGTCTGCACCACTGGGGAAAGGGCACATTAACTTTGTCATACCAAAACCAGGCAATCTTCCTACCACAGCCTCCAGACAAGACTTCTTCAGTCTTATCCTCATTATATTCTGTAAGGGGGCAATGACCTGACACAGCTATTTGGATATGATTTCACTTTTTGGAATAACCACATCTGCAAATGCTCTATATATCCCTCTTCCAAAAAACCACTTTTCTTTCAGAAGTCTCTACAATGGAATTAATCCAGAATACCAATTTCCCTACCTGAAGATAAGGTTTCGAGAAATTTCATCTTTATACTCTGCATTCATTTCTCAAGCTTTAAACCATTCCTCTCCTCCTGATACCCTCTTAAAAAAAAAAAAAAGCATAATAGTCTCTCCAACTTTTCTATAAATGTTAACAAAGAAACAAGCCCTTTCCTGAATAGATTCAAGGGAAGTCCATCCATACAGTCGTAACAGAGGTTATTTTACCTGCAAACAAAATACCACGTGAAGCTGTATGCCAGATGTTTAAAACAATTTGATCTAGTTGCATGCCAAAACCAGGAAGTGAAACTGAGAAAAGAGCTCAGGGTAGTTAAAACCAGATTTTTGGAGGATCAATATGAGAGGAAAAAGCTCCACTTGAATGGTATGAATGGAATACAGACAAGTTACTGTTATTTGCTGACTTTGCATTCAAAACCAGAGAGAACAAGAAAGAAACACAGCTTTAAAACCTTGCAAGTCAGGGTTTTTTTCCCTCTTTATTTTACATGTGTGTACGTGTACATACTGAATAATCCTGCCAGTGTAGTAGCTATACAAAAACAAAAACGATGCAATGCTTTTATCAGACCAGTTCCTAGCAGGAATTTGCACTCCATGTAAAACTAGTAAGAGCCAGCAGGAAGGCCCAGAAACCAGTAACCACCTAAAACCAAACAGAAGCACAACAGAAATACAAAAGTAAGTGACACTGCAAAGACATTGCTCAGGTAATGGGGGTGGGGGGCAGGACGGGACACTCTCACACGACCCCATAGCATTTCTATGAGTATTTTCAGAAAAATACAAATTTCAATAAAAATACAGCATTCAAGACATCTTCAGATGGGAAAGACCATGAAAGTCAACCTAATGGAGATGTGCACAATTATTTAAAACCTGTAGCTGAAAGGAAGACTCAGATGCAATTTTGTTTCCATGTCAGATTGTGCGATATACAAGCATCGGCTCTTTTTGTTGAGCTAAAAGGGAGTCTTCAAGACAGAGACCACCTGACTGTCAGTAAAGGCAGTGAATGCATTTACATCTATTTCCCGAGGATGGCCAAAAGGGTTTTTCTTCTCCATTGCTGGCATGTGTTCAACCCCCAAAGCTATTTTCTTCTGCTCTTCCCCATCCCCAGTAAGAGGTGCTGACTTAATGTTGAGCTGAAGCCTATCTGTTGCCTCCAGGTAACAAGTGGGCAGGTTTTTCCACGCTTGAATAAAAGGACGTGGAAAAATATTTAAACCAAGACATCTCTCCCCAAGTTTGGAATGCTTCACAAGCCTTCCTCATAAGTGGTCCAAAACACAGGTATTGACCCAACAGTTTTTAACCAGCTCATGGAAAAGATCTGCTGCCAGTTAACCAGGCTTCTTTTCCTTGCTCAGAGTGCTGTAAACTTCACTGCTTTCTAAAGAGCAACTAGACTGCCACGAAAAAGGGCACAGAAGAGACTTGAAATTCAGATATGCTACCCTCGCACAGAAAGCATCCTCCAGGTATGCCCCGTCCCCTTCCTCCCCCCTCGCAGGTTACCTCCAGCACAAAGCTCTGGGCAGAGGGCT